TTAGCCAGTGGCGAGGGGGGGGGGGGGCGCACCTGGGTACCCTGATGTGAATAAGCCCCCCCTGCACGCTGTGACGTACGCCCGGCCCAAACCTGCTGTACGTCAATCACACATGACTATACACAGTTCTGGGCCGAGCATGAGCATCACAAGGACGTGGCGATACCACTCTCAGCCTCACCCTGCACAGAGATTCCCCAGCTCGCGGGACCCAATCTCAGGCCAGCAGACTGAGAGCGATCGTCAGGGATGGGTAACTTCTAAGTTAACCCTTTACCCACAAATGTTCGCTGCCACCATGTGTTTTTTAATGGAAACGCAGACCGTTCTCAGCAAATGCTGCGACAATTTAAAACACTTAATGCCTATGATACCGCTGTCCTCTCAGACAGGAATATGACAGGATTCACTATACAGTAGCGCTCTTCACACAGTCACACAGTCAAGGATACCTTAAGTTCGCATTTAGAGTGTAGAGATAAGCTTAACAATTTTTAAGATCATCCTTTAATAAAAGAAACGGTGCAGAAAATATACAGGAAAAGATATTAATAAAAAGAGACAAAATATATATATAACAGTAAAATAAAAGGGAATAAAAGGTGAATACTCAACAGTCCTGGAATTAGGAGTTCTGACAGAGTTCAGAGTTGTATAAGCAAAGGAGAAGTCTGGAGGGCTCTTCTTCAAGCAAGCTTTCAGCAGATAATGTCCAGAGATTAAAGGGGAACCCATCTGCAATGTTAAGACTTCTTAGTTCCTCCTTGATGTTTTAAAATCAAGAGCCAACTCTAGCTAGTTCATCATCTTTTTGTCACACCTTTAGTATCCAGCCCCTAGGTCAGGGCTGGGGATGGAAAGCAAGGAGCAGGATAACCCTTAATTTTACACTATCCCCACCCAATTCCAAATTATGAAATGCAGCTTGATTTTGTAACTCAGGTTTATGAGTTTTGGGTGAATGTGGGGTCACCTGGGTCGTTACCTCTACCAGACCTGCTTGTTTATATGAACTTGTCCACTGGGAGAAGGCCGTCTTTTCTACCAAATGTAATTACTGCTTTTCATCTCAATGAAGATATTGCTCTTCCTTCTCTGTGTCCAAAGCCCGCTCATGAGAAGGAGAGGGCTCTTAATTGCCCAGATGTGGTACGGGCTGTTCATGTTTATTTGGAAGTTATGACTCTCTTTCGCAAAACGGATTCTCTGTTTGTTGTTACTGATGGTCCTCGGAAGGACCAGGCTGCATCTTCGGCCACCATATCACGTTGGATTCGCAACATGATATTGCAGGCCTATGCAATCAGGGGTCGTAAACCTCCATTTCCTATTACAGCTCATTCTACTAGAGCTGTCGAGGCGTCTTGGGCTTTTTGCCATAGTGCCTCAGTTTCTCAGGCTTGTAAGGCGTTGTTCATACTTTTTCAAAGTTCTACAAAGTTGGCGACATCTGCAGAAGCCAGTTTCATGTGTAAGGTTTTGCAGGCAGCCCTTCAAATGGGTTGTTCTTTTTTCCTGTGGGGATATTTTGTTTTCCCCACCCCTCAGTTGTGCTGCTTTGTGACGTCCCTGTGGTTCCAGATCTTCGACCTTCGTCACTGTGTCGTTCAATGGACGGAAGAGAAAATAGGATTTTTGTACTCCCATAAAAACCTTTTCTCTGCGTTCATTGAAGGACACAGCACCTGCCCTCTTCATGTGTGGGAGTGTACTCCTTACAACTTGTTACTCGCTGGAGACTAGATCAGCAGGTAGGGGTTGGCCACCAGAGGATGCCGCCCCTTGGCTGTCTTTTTGTCTAATGTTTGTGCCTAGCGTCGTTCTCCTGTGCCACAATATCCTGTGGTTCCAGATTCAATCTTCATCACTGTGTCCTTCAATTAATTCAGAGAAAAGGACTTTACGGCGAGTACAGAAATCATATTATTTTTTCACCTACATGGAATGACAAGGACAGTGAACTAAATCTGTTGGGGTAACACGGTGGGGGGCACAGATTATATGCTAATGCCCCTAATATCTGGGGTGTTTTTGGGGTTTTACATTTGTGCATCAGATTCCAATATGTGCTGTGGATGGTCATGGTGTTTGTGTAGAAGCACACAACACTAACTATAGAGGGACCTTTTACCACTATGATTTCTGAGTTTAACAATATTGGCATTGTTAGATGCATTTTGTATACATCAACTGCTGTTTTAAAATCATTACAATTTACATGACTGGTAAATACAACAAAGGCAAGCCAAAGGGTTCCCAATCCCATGTATTTCTTTTTTCATGTTTAATTGGTGTTTAAATCTAAGAAAACTTTACTTTGCTTACTTTGTTGTGTTGTTTGTACTTTGTTTATTTAAATTACATCTAAAGGCTCCTATATGACAGTCTTAACAAATCCCAAATCCAGTTACTATGTAATGCACAAGCCTCATAACTTAAACCAAATTATTTATTTACCTTTCCTGACTAAGCCAAATCCTTGTGCTTCATTCTCTCCCTCCCAGACACTGCAGCTCACAGTGGGAGGGCTTCAGCAGAGGCATTGCAGTGCTGTCAATCCAGAAAGCAGTGGACAGGACTAAATGTGGCTAGGTGCCGATAAGCTAAAGGCTTGTGAATCAGCGGTAACAATGCTGATAACGATGCAACCCCTACAGTATTTTCTTATCCCACTGAAGTGCAAGCATGCACAGCCTACATGAGAGTAGCAACTCTGCTCTTAAATTAAGGGCAGTGCAGCATCATTGCCACTTTATCACAGAAAGCACTATTAGGTGGTCTTCACTTACAAGACCAACAAATATTTGTGGGACCTGGCAGGGGGAAAAGTGAAAACTGTAGGTGCAGATGCTTTAGCACATATTTTTTTAATGATAGGTCAAAGTTCTTTGTACAAAGCAACAGGGCTTTCTGTGATCACTAAACTGAAAGGGATCCTCTCGGTTTGCTTCTCTTATATAGTAGTGGATAGTTGAGTTGATCTCTGAACAACATGGATATTGACTATACATTTACTGAGTTTAGAGATACAGATTTGTTATCACTGTCAGACCTCTTAGTAAATCATTAGGAAATAAAACAATGTAGCAATGTTATAAAAACAAAGATTGTTATGTTAACAGAATTGTAATGAGGTTCTGAAGTTAGTATTCCTTTTATAAGCAATGGAAACTTTCGCTATTATATTGCTGTGCTGAAAATGCACTTATTCCAATCTAACCATTAGCATGCTCTTGATTTCTGTTCCTATAGGTAACAATGAAGATAACAGCTATGTCACCTGCTGGATTTTGGCAGAGTAGGAGAAATCGATATGATCTTCTTGTGACATCACTTGGTGTCATTTGGGTGGTACTTCATTTTGCCTTACTGGTAAGGGAGCTTAATTATATAAGGTTTTACAAAACTATTTATAGAAAACTACTATAATTTTTTTGCGGTTGATACAATAGAATTATTAAAATGACTACTATTTGGTGACTCTATGTAACATTATTACACTTCCCTAGGTTGTCCTTGAAACTGTATTGCACAATCATCTTTCCTTTCAGTTATTAAATGGCCTTCATGGCATATATTTCAGTTCAAATAAAAAATTTATCAATAACTTACACATATTTATATATTTATAGGTACTGAGCTAAAGTTAATTCCTTTTCCTTAAACTATTCTAAATCCACTCACCCAGTTTATAAATCTTGCCACATACTGCGTAGTAATACATTTCTTTGTGTGCCAGTGAAAAGTCTATAGGAGTTACAGGAAGCAGGCAGCTACCAAGACTAGTATGTGTTTGAGGGACCTAATCTGTAGCTTTCATGGATGGTCCGAACTGTTGAGCACTTTGGAGCAGCCACTGGCCAGTGAAAATGCATTGTAACCCACTTGTAATTTTTTGTAATTGGATAGAAAAGTTGCTTAGCTTTCAAATACACTTACTTTAGTCTTACAAGCCCAACACACAACTCTTCCTCAATCCCTGTTATATAAATAAAAAATATAAACTATTGATGGTAGGTTGCCTTGATCTGTTCATTTTTTTGGAATAAAAGCTAAGTGAAAGTAGGTAAAAAATATCTAGACTATTGGGTTGAGCATGGCCAACATTTATGTGTATTTTTTAAGATTCTTATAGTAGTCCTCAGAAGCTTAGTAGTATTGATGTGGTTAAAGACTTATCACAACAGGGAAAATTAGGATTTGGGAAAATTAAGGGTAGCTAAAACAACAGTAAGAATTCATTTGGGGGGAGAAAGAATCTGAAATCATGATGACTAATATACATTTAAGCCCACCTGCCTAATTGTTCTCTTGGTTTTACTCTCCTGATATATACTGAAATTACCTGAGGATTTACTGTTTACTAACATTTCTTTACTAACACACAGTTAAGTACTGTCCATTACTTTTATTTTTATTGGCACTAACTGTCAGGACTAGTTTTCAGGACCTATCACCTTCTTCTAAGGTAGGAAGTACTGATATACAAAGGGTTAGCACTAATACAATCACCTTTGCTAACACTTCAAACATAGACTAGATTAATAATACTTCATCTATGACAATTAACAACACTAATGTATTCCTACATATTCCAACAGTTGTTCCATATGTTGGAAATGAGCTAAATAAAAAAAATAAAAATGTGTCTACCGTATGTAACATATATATTTTCCTTTACAGAATGAATACACATATATGATGGGTGCCTGTATAATAGTCTTCAGGTTTTTCTCCATATGCGGAAAACATGTAAGTTAAGAAAGCTATAGAAACTATAGTGGGTTCATTCTTTCACTGAAAGACTTTCTACCCTGAAAAACTTGGGATTTCCCAAGACAAGGGAATGAAACAAGTTAATTACTAGAAAAACATTTCTTTATCATTCAAACAGGGACACAGGGATGAAGTATTTCTTAGACATTTGGGTTCTACTGCCTTCTACAGGAGGTTGGGACATGAAACAAACAAAGTTAGGACTGCCACTGTATAACCCTGCCTCCAACCGACATGCCTCAGTTTTTTTTGCTAGTGTCCTAGAAGGTTGTACACATTTTCTTTAACTCTGCTGAAATTAAGCCTAACTATATTTTTTGCTAGCTTTTTTATTCTTATTTTTTAGTCTTTCCTAAAGTAAGATACTCTTTACATTGCAGATATTTTTTTTTCTTCACTGACTGCAATCTCATACAAGGTCCAGGATGCAGTACACTGTAATGCACCTTTTCACATGTTGAGACGTGTTGTGTTAAGAAAGGGATGTAATGAATGTCAGCACACAAAAATGCATTTTTAGCAGCACAGTGCACCACAATGTGCATCATGTGTTGCAGCCCAGGAGCATTGTGGAGTTGCATTGGGATGCCATGCAAAATGACTGACATCCCAAAACACCGGTGCACGTATAGTTCATGTATGCATACATAAACAAAATATATAAAGTGTGCACACTGAAAAAACATGCATTTTCCTGCGGATTACCACAATGCCCGTGTGTAAATGAGCCCTAATAAAAACACACACACATTTTATATACTTTGTTTATGTATGTCTGCCTGTCTATCTATCTATCTATCTATCTATCATGTCTATATTTACAATGCATATATACAGTACAGCATGTTACACACAGAAGGCTCCTATGGATTCTGTGACATAACAACTAGCCCCTTCTATGCAGTAATTTATGTTTGTAAATTGTACTGTCATTTTATTCCTTTGAAAACACCTCACATCAAAGGCTTATTTTATCTTTCAATGTAACTAGATTTTCTTACTGTAGTTTAGGAAAAACATTTTCAGTAAGCCCTATGCGAGAATGTATTCCTCCAAATCATGTTTCTGTTAAAAAGGCATGCTGAGAGAAAAATAACTACCCACAATTTACCTTTATCTCTAAATAGAGCATAAAATGGCTTTTTCATGGTCACTTGTCATCATACCACTAAGCTTGTCAATTTGCAGACATACTATATTCATTTTAATTGTGTTTTGGGTTTGTTTAATATTAGATACCACAAAATGCATTTTATTCCTTGAGTAATTTATTTTAGTTCCATATAAATTAATAAAAGCATGAAATCAACAACCTTTGCTTCATCTTCCTTATCCTTGAGACTTAAAGAATGATAGGGGATTTGGAAAGCTTTGACTGCAGATATAAAGCAAATATCATCAACATTTTACTATGGCTTTCAGCAGATATTGGCGATATTATATAGGACAGAAAGATTTATAGTCCCATCATGCTCAGGCAGCCTGCATTTTACTACAGTAAATACATGTTTCATTTGTGTGGATATCAGAACTGTACTTGTCATCCAATGCTTTTCATCCCCTTCTGGTTTAGAGTCAGCCATCTACTTCTTACTCTATCAATATGGTGATTGATTAAATGCATTTGTTTACACGGTAGAAAGCTACTTTCTGCCTTTATGTCATGGAACCTGGCTCAGAATTCTCTTCCAGGTTTTTCATGATTTATAACTTGTTTCATTTATTGCTGTACTTTTAATATAATTTCTCATTGACCACTACCAGGTCATATATTTTCATTAGAATCATAGCTAGTATCATATCACTGATTCCTTTATAATTTGATTATCTAGCCAATGTGTGGTCTTACCTAGAAGAGTGGAAATCGTGTCCTTTTAGCAGCCTTGGCAGGACTAGTATTGTAAATATTTGAGTAGCAGAAAACTTAGAACACTGTAAGTTAATTATTTGTACATGTGCACATTCCAGTGGCAGCTAAAAGTCACAGTTTTACTGTGGAATGGACTTTTTGACATTACGACATTATGAGCAACTCCATATTTAGTTTAAGTGTTTGGATTCAGATCTGATTTAATTTTAGGAACACAATTGTACATTTAAAGAGGTATGGGAAAACAAGTGAAAACCACACAGCTTGACATCTCCATTTTCTGATCTGCTCTAAAAGAATATTGCTTGGAATCTGTCTGCTGTCGACAACAGGTCCACTTTCATTTCCTTTCATTTCCTCCACTTTGGTAGAATTTCCCAGCAACAATCTAAAGGAAAGCAAGGCTGAAGAGTTCAAAGTGGCACAATCAGCAGATACATGAGGCAGCTGTGGCATTGCAGACATTTGACTCAAGGGATCAATGACATTTCAAATTTTTATACCTCCCTAATTTCAGCAAAAGTCAGAAGATTTTGGCAAAATGTTGCCATTTTGGCTAAATGCATTGTTTAATGGTGAAGTATTCAAGTATTTTTGGTGGTTTGTAAGGGTGCATCAGGCTTTAAATGGCTCCTTTAACCCTTTTGCTGCCAGTGCCCTTTTTGCGGTTTTTTCACACTTTATAATCCACATTTTAGGCCTGAGAATTACTTAACTCCATCCTCAGAATTATATATTTCATGAAAACAGAGACCCTGTCGAATAAAATGGTGGCTGTTGCAAATGTTTATGTCGAATTATATTAGCGCAACTCTTTATCTAACCCAACATTTCTGTAACAGATTCAATAAAGTTTATTTTAGTGCTCAAAAACACAATACCCATTTTTTTGTAAAATATAAAAGATGAGCTTGTGCCAAGCAACTAGATACCCAATACGCCAAGCTTAAAAATTGCGTGTGCCCGTGAAAAAGCAAAAAAATATGGTACCCATAATTGTCCATAGGCACTTGAAAAGCCTGTACAGGCCATCAGTTTAGTGGTAGCCATGAATATTGGCCCTAGGATTATTTCTCTCACTCTGGCGCATGTGGTGATACCTAGCATGAAGTGCAATTGTTGTTTTTATATGTAGGAGTATATACCAACAGGAAAAAGAAGACGTAGGAGCCGCAACATGTGTTTGCGTTAGTATAGGCGTGCTCGCGAGGACAAGAGAACTTTAAACAAATTTTGGGGTGTTTTTTAAATTTATTTTATTTAACTTTATTTTTTAAAACTTTTTTTAACTTAACTCTATTACTATCACATTGTGGGGCTCACAAGCCTCCTGTGTGATAGCACATTGGACGTGACTCTTTAAGGTGACATTGGGGTCTATTATACCCCTAGATTTGCACTTTAGCTAAGCTGATCAAGATGTTTGATCAGCTTCTTCTCTGGTTCTCTAGTTGGGGAATGACAGCTCAGAAACTGGAAGTGAAGCAATCAGCATCTCTTCTGGTTTCATTGAGCAGGAAGAGATCAGCAAATGGATGTTCACTGGTCACTGTCCCCGCTACCCACTGACTGGGACCTTGTGCCCACAGGAGGGACAGCGGAGCCCAGGAAGCAAGGCAGTGGGCAAAGTCGGCTTTACGCGGGTAAACAGACTCCCAGCAGCTATAGCCACTGGCAGTCTGTGTACAGGGGTCCGCATACAGGGGGCATACATTGGTGGCAACAAAACGGAGTTAGGCAAAGTTTACTTTTCTGACAATGTTTTATGTTATGCCCATATTCAAGGTGTAGCATTAAACAGGCTGCTTCTATTTTTTTAAACCAGTGTGACTGTGCATCGCTATGTTCACACAGCTGCACCACTGCGGCATATATATATATATATACATTTTTCATTTGAAGATGTATGCATTCATAATTTTTTTTATCTTGGACCTGTACTTATGTAAAAAAAAAAGTCCCTTTTTAACCTCAATATTTTAAATTTTTTCAAATAAAAAAATAAAATACAACAGACAGTGAAAACAAAGTTGAATAAAAATATGGCCAAAGCAGTTCAATTAATGAAACTGGCAGCCTAGGCAACTCAGTGAGTGAAACTGATGCGGTTTCTGATACATTTTTGCAATGGTGAAATGGGTAATTTTATATCAAAATAATTGTTGCCAAGATCACTCAATGTGGTACAATCCACAGAGATCTCTTAAAATGTAGGACTATTGTGTAGAAATACATCAAGGGAAAAAAAATTAGAAACAATGTTTTAACCCAGCTTTGATGGAAAATATACTAAAAGCGAACTTTCCATAATAATGGAAGTTCAGATGTATTGAAAGCCCCCCCCCCCCCATTTCTCACATTGCCCACAAAGGGGTACAAATTACAAAATTAAGCTATTGCAAAAAACCCTAGCTTCCAACATGTCCAAGAAACACTGCTTCCTTGGATAGCTGGGAGCTTGAAATCCCATGCATTCTTATGGAATTTCGAGTGCCCAGGTTTTCCAGGAGACTGCAGTGAGCTATGATAACATCACCCATGCCTCCTGGAAGCATCAGAATTCAGAGCCGAGGTAAGTATTTTTTTTTCTTTCTGTTGCAATATAATTAATTTTAAAATATGTTTGTAGGTAATTTGACTTTTGGGGAATGGGGGCTTTCAATAGCACAGACCTTCCATTTTTAGAAAAGGTTCACTTTAACCACTTGAAGAAAAGGTGTTTGCACCCCCTTCCTGGCCAGGCCTTTTTTCAGTATTCAGCGCTGCAGTACTTTGACTGACATTTATTCCGTCATGCAACGCTGTACTGAAATTAATTTCTTTTGGGGACAGATAGAGCTTTTTTTGGTGGTATTTAATCACGACTGGGGTTTTTATTTTTTACTATATAATGAAAAAAGTACCGTAAATCTTGAAAAAAAACTGTTTTCCCTACCTTTATGTTAAAAAAACATTTATTCATTTTTGGTAAAATATAAAAGACGGGGTCACATTGGGTAAATAGACACCAACCATGTCAAGCTTTAAAATTGCGTGCGCCTGCATATTTGCAGAAAAAACATACCCAAAATTGGCAATAGGCAATGCTTTAAAAGCTTTTACTGCTCATCAGTTTAGCGTGATCAGTGAATAACGGCCCTACAATTATTGCCCTCACTCTGACGTTCGCAGTAATATGTAACGTGCAGCATAATTGGCCGCACATCGTCGTTTTCGCACATATGCACACCCGACGCATGTTTGCATGCATGTATGTGGGGCTGGGGACTTTAAAAACATTTTTGTGGGGTTTTTTATTTTTTTTAATGTGTGACTTTAATTTTTTTTTAAACTTTTTTTTTCCACTTAACTTTATTGTTAAGCCCCCATGTATGAGTGGGCGGGGCTAACAGGCCTGTTACATCCAAGAAGCTCCTGGCAGGCCGTTTAATTACAGCGGCCAGCCAGGAAGCGGTAAAGTAAAACATCCTGTTTTTTGCTGCTTTATGTCTTGATAGCAGTATTGTGGTAATGTGGCACTTATCTCTGTCATGTATATTTAAGTCATGACTGCTCCATATGTGCAAATCAGGGATCATTGCTGTTGGTACTAAAACAAATTATTCTCTTGTTTCTAGGTTACACTGAAAATGTTATTGCTCACTGTTGTTGTCAGCATGTATAAGAGTTTCTTCATTATTGTGGGCATGTTTTTGTTGCTTCTTTGCTATGCTTTTGCTGGAGTTGTCCTTTTTGGAACAGTAAAATATGGTGAAAACATCAACAGGTGAGTGTAACAATAATATATACACTGCTAAAATCTATGGTCAGTGGGGAAGCTAGATATTCTGTCACCCAGGGCAAAGGCTCAGGGTTGCTCTCCCACAGGGGAAACGTTCTCCATTCACACACCCAGAGGCATTACTACACATCTAGTCATTTTCAGTCCATCATTCATGCTCTGTTTGTCTATAAATTAGAGTTTCTTTTTTCAGTCACGGCACCCTTCAAAAGTTTGCTAAATCTAGGGGCACCCCAGTCTGGAAAGTTAAAAATATAAAGGTAAAAAATGTGTGGCGCCCTCTGAAATCTATACCAGACCTTTATCCTAAATTGGGGTCTGCTATGAATTGTAATGGAGGCCCAACGAAAAAAAAAATGATGTAGAATTCCTTCCTTCGTATCAGAGTCCCCCTCTTTCACAACAGGCGCTACCTTCACATCACAGTCTCTCTCCCTTTCACATCAGAGTCCCTTTCACATCAGAAGCCCCTCATTCATCTCAGGAGCCCCCTCCACATCAGAGCCCCCCTTCACCTCAGAGTCCCTTCGTATACATTAGTGTTCCCCTTTAACATCAGGAGCCCCTTCACATCAGAGTCCTAAGTCTCTTTTACATCAGAGTCCTACCTTCACATCAGGAGCACCCTTCACATTGGAGTCCTACCTTCATATCAGGAGCACCCTTCACATCAGAGTCCTCCCTTCACATCAGCAGCCCCTTCACATCAGAGTCCCTTCCTTTCACATTAGAGTTCCCCCTTCACATCAGAAGCCCCCCTTCACATCAGTGTCCTACCTTACAATCTTCACCACAGTGCAGCAGCATGGCAGAAGGGAGACCAGCTTTGAATGGAGGAGAACTTCAGTCCTCTTCTGAATGCTGGGGTCTTGGATGCTGCCTGCCCTTTCCATTGTGCATTTTCATGGTGCTGGTGACCCTGTACATGCAAACACAGGACGCTGTGCGAACATTTGATGGCCCCCCTTGACAAAGAAAGTCGGCAATCCAGTTGGCAAAGGCGGGTATAGATTAAAGTAATATGAAGAAATCACTTATTTAGAAACTTTGTTACTTATCAATAGTCTGGTTACCACAGACTGGTAATGTTTTTAGTTTGTTTTTGGTTTTTGCTCATGAAAAATTTTGTTTTGCTCAGTAGCATTCCTAAGCTAGTATAGCCATCTGGTGCAATAACCACAGGTCTTTCACATTAATGGCATGATCAGATTAGCTGATATGAGGCCATAGTGCAGGCCATAGTGCAGGCCCTGATAACCTAATTTTGAATAATGTAGCAGAAAGAGTCTTTAAATGCCATCACATGTTTGCATAAAATTATGTTTGGTTACTTTCTGAGCATCCTGGCTTATGCAGTTCTCTGGGCCCAAGACTAGATATGACCATCATAGAATATTTATCTATATCTAAAATAGGTATTTTATGTCAAAAGAACTAGACCTATTTAACATTGCATTTACTTCTCCACGCAATGCAATTTATGGCAATATCTCTCATTGTTGTTCCCTAAGGCCCACAGACAGTGGACATTTTCCAGATCTTAGAAAACAGTAAAATAATTAGCTCCATAGTTTAAAAACATTGCTAATAGAACACCTGTTCTCCTACTTGGAAATATGGAGAATCTGAGTTGTTAAGCCTGTGAGAACCAAAGCTGTTTATTAGCGATATCTGTTTTAAGATGAAGGGCTTGGTGTTCCCACTTTGGTTTTACTAGAAAGCAGTCCATATTAATCATGTAAAAATGTATCTCCCGGTCAAATGTAAGCTATATTAATTCATTTTCTAATAATTAGTGAATGATTCAATGGTAAATTTATAAATGTTAGCAATAGCTTTTTAATATAAACCAAGCTGCAACTTAAGTTTACTAGCTTTTTACGGTGCTTAGACGTAAAGGAGACTGAAAAGAGAATGAACTAATGAACCAAAACAATATGTAATGTTCTGAAGTCATAGTTCGTAGTGTTTTGCCAGCCTAACTCCCTTGAGTACTATTACAATTATAATGTGGGTTTTGTTCGCAAAGTGTTTTTAGGAGCAGCACCACAAGGTAATAATCAGCATGTGAATCTGTTGTGTCTGTCAGATAAAAGTAATGTATGCTGTGCTATTTTTTTGTAATTCATTTGGTCTTTACAACCTAGGCATGCCAACTTCTCCACAGCAGGTAAAGCTATTACAGTGCTATTCAGGATTGTAACTGGTGAAGACTGGAATAAAATAATGCATGACTGTATGGTAAGTGGAGAGAAACACAATAAGAGAATGGCAAAGGTTTAATGCCAGGGGAAATATGATTGCACAGTTTCTTAAGCTTCATGAAAGTTCATTAAATGTGCATTGAAAAGTAAATTTGTGGTTAGATTAAGCAATCATGTAATGATGTCTTGGTGTAGCTCATTAACTCTCAATCTAGATTGGGTGTTTTTTGCTTTGTGTTTTAATCATGGACAGACTGTGGAGATATAAACACGCTTAAATGGGCCATGCAGCTTGATACTTGTTAAACTGAGAAAAAAACATAATTTGCTGGGATAGCTTAACACAACTATTAGCTTAGCATCATGTTACATCATAAATTATAGCTAATATAATGTTATATCAAAAGCTGAACCTTTATACAGTACATGTATCTCATGAAAGGAAATCCTAGGATTTTCATGTCATTTAGTCTTAGAGGATTATAGCTATTCAACAATATTTAACATTTCTCTAACATAGTCATTAAAAAAATTAAAAAGTTTATTTGCATTTGCAGTAGGCTACATTACTACTCCTTCCAACCCCATCATAAGCTCAACATTAACATCTATTTAAAGACTTTTTGACCTTATTGCAGAGTGTTAAGGTTTGTAAGGCTGCCAGTAATCACATGGGAGGCTTGCATGTCCTTTCTCTAAAAAGTATAAGCTGCTGCACAAACAACGTCTCTTATGAAGTTAGGTATGGACAACAGCTGCTTTTTATTGACAAGCTAATGGCTGCAAGCCATGTTGCTCCATGCATCCCTATCTACTGCTGAAGTCCTAGCAGGCACAGTGACTGAAAGGGAGACCATGCAGAGTGAATTCGCTAGAACAGGCTATGTATTCTCACCTCAAAGAAGACTTGGACTATGGATATTCAAATATTTACATACTATTAACAAGCAGTAAAAACAACTTTAGAACAAACCCTCACTTACCTCTCTAGCCACATCTGGAGTTATTCATCCTCAAAGACTGCAGCTGAAGTTCTTTCAGTTTTACTTTCTCTCTCTCTCTCTCTCTCTGGGTAGCTCATCTCCCACCTGCCGGCAGCGAGTTAACAGCTAACCAACCTTTTCGTTTTTCATGTAAACACAGATGCACAGGAAGACAGGAGAATGAACAGTGCACCTGCTTCTATTGTCAGTTTTGAGTATGAATTGCTCCACAGTGGCTGTAACCATAGAGGTAATTGATGGCTTGGTTTAAAGCTGAATTCCAGTATGACCTTTTTTTTCCCCACACTTGTAGTAAAGTAAGTCCTCTTCTGTTTTGAAATGGAATACTCTCAATTCCCTGCAATCTTGCATCTTCAGAATATAACACTGTGGAGCTGCAGCTGAGTCCACCTTCATTTCCTGTCAAAACAACCTCCATCATTCATCAGTCACTTCTCCCCATGATCTGTACCGCCAATGCAACTCCCCCATCCTTTCCTCACTGCCTTTAGTTTTCTCTGCCATCATTCTTTTTGTTCTGGAGCGTTATGCAAAAGTACACATCCACAACATCCCTTTGCATGTGCCTGAAACCAGAGTCAACCAGTCAGCAGGATGCAGCACTGACTGGCCAGCAGGAAGAAGCAGGCACATCTTAAGGATCCTGGGAATGTGTTATTTCATATAATTCTTTTGAAAAGATGTAAGGCAGAAAGCTGGGACATTTGCAGGAGCCTGTTAGCCCCACTAACAAACTCAGATTAAAGGGCAGCAGACAGACCCAGTGATGACAATACTGGGTCCCAAACCATGTTTTTCTTAAAAAAACTAAATTATTTAATTTAACAATTTGAATTGTGTGTTGATTGGAGGGAGGGGGGAACAAATGAAGGTATTTTTTGTGTACACTACACTTTAAATTAGCTCTAAAGCTTTTTTCTTTCTCGCTCATTGAGGGACAAAGGACTATAGTAATTCTTACAAATGTGGGTTATACTGCTGCTTACAGGATGATTTGGACATTGGCACACAAAAAAGTGACTTGGTATAACTCTTTCCATTCCCGGCATGCCTCTGTTTTTTGATAGTGTCCTAGGAGGATGGATATGGTTCAATCAATTTTTCTAGACAATTCTCCTTTTTTCAAGATTATTTTTTTTATTTAATCAAGACTTCATCTACATGCTGCGTGAGCTGCTCTTTATGCACATATCCAGTTTAGAGTATCTTCATCAATAGCGTTGAAAACCCAGAGACCACTGGTCTGGACATTTGTGGGGCCTGCCTAGAATGTGACCTTCTTGTTATCAAGTCTGCTGTTGGTGCTTTTAAGACCTCCGTGTATTGTGTTGGTGAGCCGCAGAGTGCTTTTTAGGTCCAATACTGTGGTAAACCCTTTGGTGTAACCCAACCCCTTTAGACTTATTTATAAGTAGGCCTTGTGGCCACGCAGCAGGAGCTGCATTATTTACTAGAACTGTTGGGTGCCATTATTACCCCCTTTCTTCCACTGATCTCAACGGAAAGGGTTAAAACACAGAGAAAGTGCTGTATCATTGGGTGGAGTGTCACACATGCACAATCTGTGCTCTTTTCCTGCTACTTAACATGAGGCAAAACATGCAGAAACATGCAGTTTTACCTGGGTAAGTCTTTGCTGACACCCACTGTGTCACCTCCGACCTTGAAGCTTCTTTGCTACCAGCAATCAGTTCAAAAGTATTTAAAGGTTTTTATGGTACTAGAGCTAAGTTGTTCCTATTATTGTGCAACATGTCAGATCCCAAACACAAAAGGAGTAGTCCTGCTAAATCAGGTCAATCCGGCTCTTGATTCACGGTCCCAGGGCAGCCTGCAATGTTCCCTCTCAAGGACCTGACACCAACAACATGAACATTGTCATGTGCTTGAGTCCTTACATTCTTTGGAGTCCTCCTTGACTCTGTCCATGTGGCCTCCTGCTCATTTTTAACCAGGAGGATTTCACCATAGTTTTTCAAGATTTGGTTTGGATGTTGTTTTGGCTGTGAGAGTCTATCTCTCAGCTACTGCTTCCTTTAGGAATACTGATTTCCTATCATATTATCCCGGATGGACCCAATAAGGATTCTCTGGCTTCTGATTCCACCATCTCTAAGTCGCTCAGGCAGACCATCATCCAAGCTTATGGTCTTCAGGATCAGGTTCCACTATTTTTCTGTCAAGGCACACATTACTAGATTTCTGAGTGCTTCTGGTGTTTTGGGGCATCAAATAACTGTTTCCTAGATATGCAAGGCTGCCACATGGTCTTGTGTTCACACGTTTCCAGGTGAAGTTTTACCAGGTGAACTTTGTGCTCTCATCTGATGCCAGTTTGGGGTGAATGGTTCTTTAGAAGGCTGCAGGTAGTCCCTAGTTTTCGGTTCAACAAATAAGTTAGCGTTTGTTTTCTGTGTTACCCTCCCCTCAGTTGGACTGATTTTGGACAGCCCAAAGATAAAAGATTTGCTGTGTCCCCAATCGATGAGAAAGAAGGTAGGATTTTTGTATTTGTAAAATCCTTTTCTTGGAGTCCATTGAGAGATACAGGTCCCACCCCTCTGTGTTTAAAATCGTGCTCTTTTCCCTACTTTACTAAAAAAAATTGAGAATGCCGGTAGGAGGTATTATCCTGGAATGACCTACAGTTATTTTTGTTTGCCAGTGTCAAATCCTCCTGTAGGCAGTGCTGTAACCCAATGGTGAAAGAGTTCCTGTGTTTCTTCATGGATTCTAAAAAAATTATTTTGCGGTGAGTACAAAAATCTTACTTCGGCCAGTATTAATTTTGTAATAAAATATGAACTAACTCATTACATACATCAAGAAGAGGCATTTCTTATTGTATGCTTTTGGATTATTAGTATCTTTATGCCTGCCTACAGAAGGCTACTTCAGCTACAGGACCGAGTCCATTTTATCAGGTCACCTCCCACTGTCTCCAGTCATCTATTAGCTAAGACATGAGCAAAATGTTATTGTGTGTTATGACAGGAGGAAGAAGCCTCTGTGCAATCCATAACATATGGCCTCTGAGAACTGCAAAAAAGGATTATTTCCTGTATTTGTTCCTATATTTGTTCTGAGCACAGGAACAACTTTACACCGAAGCATTGTTTTGTGCTTTTCTATTGGAATTAAGTTTTATTGTCTATAATAGGATATCAAAAGTCAAGCTATGTACAACGAAAAGCTGTAAAACAAGCAACTTCTTAAAGAAATCATTACTTAGTTGCACTGGTTTCTTAATTTCAGGTGCAGCCACCATTCTGTACTCCAGATGACACAAGATACTGGGAAACTGACTGTGGCAATTATGCAGGAGCACTAATGTATTTCTGTTCATTTTATGTTATCATTGCCTACATTATGTTAAACCTACTGGTTGGTAAGTGAAACATAAATAGTAAATGTTTATACTATATTGTAAAATTTTCCTGCATACATTGATTTGAATATACATTTTATGGAGAGGTCAGTAAGCTTGCTACATAGTTTATTTATTAAATCCCAACTCTGGGCTCGCTGGGCCTCATTTAACCAGCAATATAGAAAGCATCTAATAGTGAAAAGGAATTACTGCAAGTGAACAATTTGTGTGAGGAGGTGAGTATTGCAGGCAGAGCTGCTTTTTATGTTTTACACTTACTGGGTATTATCAAAAAATAAATGCCAGAAGTTGGGCTTTAAAGTGGTTCTAAACCCTCCCGTTTCTTTGCCTATATCTACTGCTATCAAGCAGTAGATATAGGCAAAAGGTAAAAAAAAAAACGCTTTAACAGCGCTTAACACTTACTTTGTTTCGGTCCGAGAAAACGAAACTGCTCTGGTGGCCGCAAAGCATCTTGGGGCGGGCGCATGCACAGTTCGGATTCTCGGCAGGAAGACGAGCAGAGACGCAAGGTAAGTCTATGGACTCATGCAGACACCGCTGGTCTGCGATTGTGCGGAGCTAGCAGTGACAGCTAGCTCCGCCCAACTGTTTTCTATTGGCCGGGGCGGTTCTGCTGCCGTCAATAAAAAAAAAAAAAAAGAACACACCATAGGAATGCATAGGTAGATTCCTATTGGCTATTTCAGCAGCAGTAGGTGGGTGCAATAGCTAGTTTGCTATTGGCTATTGCAAATTGAAATAGCCAATAGGAATCTAGCTATGCATTCCTATGGTGATTTCTTTTTTTTTCTTCTGACGGCAGCCAACGGCTCCGATGTCAGAAGAAAGAAAGAAAAAACCGAGCGGGAAAGGTTTACTCTGCTCAATCGAGCAGAGTGAACGTTTCTGGGAGAAAGTGTTTCTCTCCCAGGCGGCCAGAAGCCTATTAGACTCCCAGAGCGTCCGGGGGAGAAATGACAGATGGCGTTCCGGCCATTCGGCCAGCTTCGGCTTTCAGCTCGGCCAACTTCGGGAGCTGTACGGCTATAGTGAATAGCCCATACAGCAGCCCTTCGGTTCTACTGAACCGTAGGGGTCCTGGGGCCAAAGCTAGCCCGAAGGATCAGCCGAAGCTTTTTGAAGTATTTGAGGTTGAATAAAGACATAAGTCCATCAAGTCCAACCTATTGCGTGTGTGGATTTATGTTTGAGCAGGTGTGTGCGTGTATATGAGTCCATGTGTAATTTTGCTCTTAAGAGTACTTGTACCCCTTTATGTTATGGTCTCCAAGGAACTCGTCCAGGTGTTTCTTGGATGATTCCACACTCTTAGCAGAAATCACTTCCTGCGGTAGAGAGTTCCAGACCCTAACCGCTTTAACTGTGAAGAACCCCCTGCACCCCGTGTGTAGAAAAAACATTTCTACTAATTTGTGGTGGTGCCCTCTGGTCTTTGTTACGGAGCTAACCGTAAACAGTTTGTTAATAATGTTGCTGTCGCCGTTGAACAGTTTATACAAGAAAATCATGTCCCCCTTAATCTCCTAACCTCCAAAGAGAACATATTTAATGTTAACAACCTTGTTTCATAGTTCAAGTCTTCGAACCCCTTAATGAGTTTGGTTTCCTTCCGCTGGACTTTTTTCAGCTCAAGAACATCTTTTCTTAGTATTGGTGACCAAAACTGGACCGCATACTCCAGATGTGGCCGAACCAGTGATCTGTAAAGTGGCAAAATTATAGACTTGTCCCTGCAATACATTCCCTTCTTAATGCAAGACAGGACTCTGCTTGCTTTGTTCACAGCAGTCTGGCACTAAGAGCTGTTCTTTAATCTCCAGTCTATAATGACCCCCAAATCCTTCTCCGTTTCCGACTTCCCTAGTGGCACACCCATACGTGTATAGTCCATATGCCTATTTTTAACTCCAAAGTGCATTGCCTTGCATTTATCGACGTTGAACTTCATCTGCCATACAGTTGCCCATTCCCCGAGTTTATCCAGGTCCTCCTGTAATGTTACAATGTCAAAATCCGTGTCTATTACCCTCCCAATTTTCGTATCATCAGCAAACACTGAGACATGGCTACTCACTCCCTCCCCGATATCATTAATAAACAGGTTAAAAAGCATTTGGCCCAGCACAGAACCCTGGGGCATGCCACTCATGACTTCAGCCCAGTCTGAAAAGGTGCCGTTTATCGATACTCTTTGTACACGATCCTTTAGCCAGTTTTCTATCCACGTGCACACTAATTCATCTATGCCCATAGCCTTTAGCTTGTATAACAAGTGTTTATGTGGCACCATATCAAATGCTTTGGAAAAGTCCACATATACTACGTCCACCGCCCGCCCTCCATCCAGATCTCTACTCACCTCTTCATAAAAGGTTAGCAGGTTGGTCTGGCAAGAACGATCCTTCCTAAATCCATGCTGGTTATCATTTATTATGCCATGATCCAGAACGAATTCCACTAAGTAGTCCTTAATAATTCCTCTAACAGTTTACATACTATGCATGTCAGACTAACTGGTCTATAGTTCCCCGGTTGGCATTTTGACCCTTTTTTGAATATAGGTACCACATTAACCCTTCGCCAGTCGCTTGGCACTCTACCAGCCATTACGGATTCCTTCAAAATAAGGAACAATGGTCTTGTTATCTCCATGTTGATTTCCTTGAGTACCTTGCGATGTAGATTATCAGGTCCTAATGCTTTATTTGCATTTAGTAGTTTAAGCCTATGTTGTATCCTGGTTTCAGTCAACCACTCAGGTGTATTTCTTGTTAAATTTTGTGTTTTATCATTTACATTAAACCCGTCTTTTTCCTCGGTGAATACCGATGAGAAAAAAGTATTTAGCGCCTCGGCCCTCTCCCTATCGTTTGTGACTAGCCTCCCATTTTTGTCCTTTACTGGGCCTATCTGTTCCTTTCTCCCATTTTTACTGTTTATGTATTGATACAAAATTTGGGGATTCCTTTTACTAACCGTGGCGATTTATTTCTCACATTCAATTTTAGCTGCCCGGACTACCAGTTTACATCTTTTATTACATTCTTTGTAGTTTTGGAATGCCAATACTGTCCCCTCCATTTTATACTTACCGTGTTTCCCCGAAAGTAAGACCTACCCCAATAGTAAGACCTAGCGCTATCTTCAGTGATTTCTGTAATATAAGACCTACCCCGAAAATAAGACCTAGTTCGGTGGTAGGTCTTATATTGCTGAAATCCGCTAGGTCTTACTTTTGGGGTAGCGGCACATGAACGTTCCCCTCTTGCTCCCCACTACTATTTTTAATTGTACCTGTTACGGTTGGTCCATTCCTAATTGGATCACCTTGGGCAATTAGATTTACCTTATTGACTACATTTAGTATGTTCTCTATGTTGGCTTGATTAACTACTTTGACTATGTTGACTGGAGTGAGCCCACTATCTAATTCTGTATTTTTTCCTTCTGTGTTATCTGTCACGATTGGTTGTTTAATATTTAATTTTTTGGTTCTTATTTTACCCTCCCCCCATTATCTAGTTTAAAAGCTTCTCCAGTCTTTTAACCATTTTTCCACCCAGAAATGCTGCACCTTCCCCATTAAGATGTAGCCCGTCTCTGCTGAAGAGCTGGTAACCGATTGAGAAGTCGGCCCAGTTCTCCAGGAAACCAAAGCCCTCATTCCGACACCAGTTCCCGGAGCCACTTGTTAAGTTCCCTCAACTTCCGCTGTCTGTCCGGAGTGGCTCTTGGCACTGGCAGTATCTCAGAGAATACCACCGTGGAGGTCCTTTCCTTCGGCAGCTTAGTGAATAGACCCTGTGACGGACCACCTGGTACCTCGACTGGGTACCTCCGTCAGAAATCAGCTTCCTCTCCGATGGAACCCGAATTCCAGTGTCCTCAGCCCAAACCTGCCTAATAATTGGACAAAACCAATATATTAGGACAGAATGGTAACCTCCTCAATCATCAGACAACACCAATGTTGAAGAGTAAATCAAGAACTGCTTTATTGAGGAAGAGCACACAGAGTTTATACCTCACACCATCAGATAAGCATTCATTGTTACATGGAGCTGTCCCCTCCCCCAGACAGCTAGGTGCCGCATTGGATTGTCTTAATTAGAGAGGAGCTTAATCCCATCACTGTAAACAATGGTCACTCCAGACAGCCTGCTGCCTTTAGAAGAATGGTTCACATCAAGTCACATAGTGATCAGCTCTCTGCAGATAAAATATTAACTGTAAACACACACAGCACACAAAGTTCTCTGGGGTAATAAACCTCTGCAGCCCTTTGGTCCGTGGTCAGTAGGAAGGAGGCTAGCCCTCAGGCTCCTCCAGTAGCCCCAGTGATGGTTCAGTCTGTCACAGACCCCTAAGAGATTATGTGACCTGATACCTTAAAAGACTACAGACCATTTTTTATTTTCTAGCAGTATTCTAGCAGGCGGACCCTTTTAAAGTGTAAGTCCAACCCAAAGTTTTCTTTTTAGTTTTGGATAAAGTGGGGAAAGATTAAATCTACTGTCAGGTTGTTACTGTGATCTGGGGTTCCATTAGAAAGATCTCTTCTCACTTACTATCATAGTGACAATGGTTTTACCAGACAGAAAATGACTAAAGATCTGCAACAGGGACACCGCAATAAAAAGTTGACTGGCATTCTAATCTTCCTCCTATTTAACTAATAAAAATACATTTTATTGCTGTCGGTGTTCTTTGTTGAACATTTTCCCTTTCTCCCTGTATAGTAAAACTGGAACAGTAAATAAGGGGAAACCTCTCTAATGGAGGCCTGCCTAGTAGCAAAAATCTGACTGTGTTTCTGATCATTCCTATATTCTATCCAAAACTAAAAATAAACGTTTTTGAATGAACATATACTTTAATCACAGTCCTTCCTTTGCAATGTATTGGGTTGAATGAGTATCAAAAGAGCCATTTGTGAAAAAGAGGTTGATCTAATGGTACAATATGTTTAAAATCAGTTGTACAACGTATCCCAGAACACAGTCCAAAAAACACAATGATTATTCGTATTTAAACTGATGTCAGTTTGACTTCTATTATTAACCCTATTGATACATTTTAATATTTCCTCACATCATTCAACCTGAAGGACTTCTATATATTTTTTTTTTGTTTTGCTTATTATTTTTCTAATACTTATTTCTGTTTATTTTTGTTTTAGCCATAATTGTAGAAAACTTCTCTTTGTTCTACTCAACTGAAGAAGATCAACTGCTAAGTCCTAATGATCTAAGACATTATCAAATAATATGGAATATGGTAGATGACAAGAGAGAGGTACGATGTTTTGCAAATTTCTTATGTTGCCCAAAAAAACTGCACCATTTCTGGCAATAGAGGATCATTTTGGAAAACTGGAGAAAGACTGGGAAATAAGTGATCTGTTGTCCACAACAACCAGTCAGGTTTTCATAATTAAATCCAAATAACAAATCCAGGTGCTATGAGCACCAACTTAGTTTCTGAGTTTTAGATACATTGCCAAAATGGCAGATGAAATCTGTCAAAGACAAGGAGCTGGCAAATATGTCTAGTACTGATGGTTTTAAAGCTACTGTACAAGTTTTGCTACCAGTCAACTAATCTCTTAACTTAAAACACAAAAGTAAAACATTATACCTTCATATGTTAATTTATCACTAAGCAATATTAGAAATTAAGGATGCACCGATACCGTATTAGCACAGTGCCTCTTAATGATACACAATAATGCTCAAAATTATTATAAATGCCTTTAGAGTAGGATGCACTGATACCGGTTTTTCAGTATTAAGTATGAGTACCAATATTTTTGGCTTTCTGGCTAATCAGGAAGCCGGGGGTGGTTAATGACTCACCGCCCAGCTTCCTGATTGGCCAGCTTCCCGATCAATCATGTAATTACACGCCGCCCGGCTTGTACCGAGGTCACAGGGGAACAAGGAGCCAATCAGGAAGTCGGCAGCATGTAATAGACTCGGCCGCCCGGCTTCCTGATACCGGGCTTTCCGGTATCGGGATAGGCATCAGGAGAATTACTAGTATTGGTATCGGTGCATCCCTATTAGAAATATTATCATCAGCAGGAGAGCCCTTAGGTTCTGCACCATGTTTAAATGTTCCTATGGTACCCCGTTAAATCAAATAAATGTGCTCTCTCTCCTTGTGGGAGGGTTTAGTGGTAGTCTCTCTGCAAGCTTTTGCTTTTTCTTCTTTTGTAAGGTATTCACAAAACACAAAAATACACACCTCCAACTGCTGATTTGCCACTGTAGCTGTTCAGACGAAACAGGTATCTTGCATTACATATCGTGGTTTGCCCATACCCAGTGGCGTCACAAGGGGGGTGCAGGGGGTGTGGCCCGCACCCGGGTGACACCATTGGAGGGGTGACACCAAAATTACTTAGTCATTTTGGTGTCACCCCCCTCTGAAAATTGCGCACGCGCGCGGTGACCTCTCGGCGGGGGGACACTCGGTCCGGGTGTCACCAAACCTCTGGACACCCCTGCCCATACCACTGCTCTGTAAAGCGAAACCAGAATGCAGCAAAAATCTTTCCAAAGGAAAATTGTATTGAATCGACTACCTTACAGGCTTACATACACATCATGCAGGGTGGTGTAGTAAATTGGTGGATGGCGCCAACGTATAATCATAGTAAACTAAGGATCGTCACCAACACACCTTGGCATAATGATAATCCTTTCCTTTATTCACATAAGCAATCTTCCAAATCCTAATCCTCCAAAGAAGACACTTGTTCCTACCGTAACAAGAGAGGATTTTCCCTAATTGGAGATATTTCCTCTTACTTCCTGTTGTTTCTTCAGGACAAGATGTAAGGTACTTCTCCCCACTGGGGCACAGATAACAAAAAAACCCAACTTGATAGGTTTTTAACTACATAATCCATCACTAAAAACAAAACGTTTTGCCTTTAAATATACGTTAAAGCCAAGTACACTGTATTTTCAGTGAACATAAAATTTGAGTTATTATTGAAGTATTTTCCTTAACATTATTATTTTACTATTGATTTTACAATTCAGTGTGCTTGCTTTTCTGTATTCTTTAAATTGTTTTAACCACTTCGGTTCCCGCATTATTAAAAAAAATAAAGAAATAATACTAATGTGTTGTTTTATTTTTATTTTTACTTTCTGCTTTGGATATTGCTTTTGCTGATATTTTAGGGTTGATTTAATAAATAGGCTGTTTACTTTGTAAGGGAATTTTCACTTTGCAAGGAAATGTTTCCTTAATTTAAAGTATAATTAAACTCTCTTTTTTTGCATAGATCTACTGCTAACAAGCAGTAGATCTATGCAAAAACATAAAAAAAGAAACCAAAAAGGTTATTACTAGGGCTGCGGAAATTAACGATTAATTTCTCGATTAATCGTTAATCTTTTTGATCGCTTAAATTATTTTTGATCACTAATGAAAATACTCACCTCTCCGTCGGCTTCCTGGAGTCCTGTCGCAGATCCGGTGATGTCACGGTAATCAACGTCACCGGACTCCTCCCCCCTTCCCCATGTGGCTCCGTCGGCTAACGGAGGGAAGGGGGAGGAGTCCAGTGACGTCGATGTCTGTGACGTCACCGGATCTGCGACGGGACTCCCGGAAGACCCAGAAGCCGGCGGAGAGGTGAGTGACACTGCATTTTGATGCCACAAGCCCCCAGTGAGATGTTTTAGATAATTTTAGATGCAGAGCTAAAATAAATGAAATCATCCACTTCCACTGCTTTAGGCATTACAGTTTTTGTTCACAGCTGTGGTACAGGGAGGATCTTTAATTCATACCCAAACTATCCTGTTAAATAATGTGGGCTAAATGCTTATGGTTAACTAGTACTCATACGTATAATAAGGGTACGCTTTTCCAGAACTAATGAAGCTGTTTAAATAAATAATTTCTATAGTGCTGACAATGCTGTGCTTTTACATACTGCACATTCACATCAGTGCCTGTCCAAGAAGCCTACAATCTAAGGTCCCCATGTCACATACTGTCACCAGACTCCTCCCCCTTCCCCAAGTGGCTCTGTCAGCTAACGAAGGGAAGGGGGGAGGAGTTCGGTGACGTCGATGTCCGTGACGTCACCGGACTCCTTCCCCCTTCCCTTCGTTAGCCGATGGAGCCACTTGGGCTGGTGATCTGTCGACACTGAGAACTTATCGATTTCTGCGACTGCCTGACTTCCAGTTTCGGTAAAACTAAGAGGTTTGCCCAAGAAACTTCTTCTGCACGAGCGCCAGCCAAGGCATTGGCCTAAACACATACAGCACAGCAATGAAGTAATAAAATGAACTAGGATCACACTAATCCAGCACGTTATTATTCTGAGTTGCCCCACTCAACGGCGGCCATATTGAGTGGGGCACGTGAGATTAATAACGTGCTGGATTAGTGTGATCCTAGTTCATTTTATCACTTCATTGCTGTGCTGTATGTGTATAGGCCACTGTAGTTGGATCTGTATGTGCGTTATAATCAAAATTTATAAATTAATTGATAAAAAAATATTTAGATTAATCGAACACGAAAATTTTAATCAGTAACAGCCCTAGTTATTACTTACCTGTGTCTCCGCCACTCATTCCTGTCCAAAGATCTGAAGATTCTTGAGTGACTGAGTAGGATGATGGGGCAGGAGCATGCGCAGTACAGATCTTTGGCTGGGAGATGAGGAGAGACAGTAGAACTGAATGCAGCCGGGAACATGCACTTCAGAGAGACACCATGGGACAGGAAGAGACAGGAGTCTGCGGTGGATCAGTGACTGGCACCAGCGCTGGAGGGATTGGTGAATACAAGTGGAAGGGAGGAGATGATCAGATCAAGAGGCACCATTTAAGGTAAGTCCTTAACCACTTGCCGTCCGCCTGTTGTAAAAAAACGGAAGGACGGCACTGCAGCATTGGCGGGTTGCCGTCTCCAGACGGCATTTTTTTTCTGCTCGTGCGTGCCCCCTAGCGGGGACGCACGGGCAGAAAAGACCCGACCAATGCAAACACCCGTTACCGGGTGTTTCACATATAGACGATCGTCGGCTCCATAGCCCGCCGATCGTCTATATGTGCTCTTTCCCCCGCGCGGCCGCCGCCGTTTTTTTGCCCTCTTAAAGTACCGCAGCGCTGAATACTGAAAAATGGCCTGGATGGGAAGGGGGTTTAACACCGCGGATGTCAACTGGTTAAAGCATCATGGGGGGAGAAAAATATCTGCGACTTTAGATAATGATGTGGAGCTCTGCTGACTTCCATCATGTAATCATGTGTATGCAAAAATACTGTTTTTTTTATTTCCTTGCATGTGATTGAGTATTCTTTACAAAGTGAATTTTCACCACATTCACTGAGCTAAGGGAAAATGTCTGTGCAAAGTGAACAGCTTGTTTGCTTTATACATCAACCCCCTTTCCCTGGGCTCACAAAAAAAACCCCATATTTATCAGCATTGGTTAGGTGTAGTATGTATCTTTATGGTCTGTTGCCATAGACAGCACTCTGTTTTGCTCAAAGACCAAGCAAACGTCATTTGAAATGGACAGGGGTTATATATTGAAGAACAGCTATAGAGAACAATAGCAGTCCCTGTCTGCCCCATGGTACAACCTGTACTTGCTTGTATACTCTATGGCAAGTCTTATCCTCAACTTTATATTTTCACTGCTGTGCAACAGAATGGAGCCAAACCTCATCCATTTCGGGTCCTATATTCTCCCTTCCTGGGGCATCAAGCCCATCTATCCTGCTTATGGGCTGCTAAGAAGATTGAGGATATGGGAAGGGGGTTTGCCAATTTTAACACAAAATGGCAGCATTTGCCTATTAGAGATTACTTTACTAGTACATTTCAAGAAGAAGAGGTAAAGGTAGGTGTAGGAATTGTAGTGCTACTATCATTACAGTCAGAGAAGCTTTAACTAAAGGGAACTTATTCTTTAACAACAATTAAAGGTCTCTCTCATAAACTGCTCTATATGCTGAGGTAAAATAGTTACATAAATCTTAAATGACTGAATGCCCTCACATCTTGTATGTATTTGCAGGGTGTCATTCCAGCATTCCGTGTGAAGTTCCTCCTGAGACTGCTGCGTGGCCGACTGGAAGTAGACTTGGATAAAGATAAACTTCTATTTAAGCACATGTGCTATGAAATGGAACGCTTACATAGTGGTGGTGATGTGACTTTTCATGATGTGCTCAGGTAATCTCAATTATATACTGTAAAATTTGCTAGAAAAGGGAACCCCAATGAGTGCCACATTTATAGTTATCACTTGCACCACACAACTATCTTCTGTTCTTGTCTGCCTCTAAGGCTTATTCCTGTACATGAAGAGACTTCAGATGATCCAACTCCCTCCCATGTTTTTAGAAGACATCTCACTTATGGAAAAAGCCCACAGAAAATACCATATCCATACTTTGGAACCCATGTCATCTTTGCAGGGACAGGCTCAGCTGGAATTACAGTTTTCCTATCATTGCCATCTTTACAGAATACATTTTCAAGCATTATCAAAAAAATGGCTGTTTTGCATAATTTTAAACACATTCAAATTTTTCATACAAAATGTGTGACTTAATTTAATCCACTCACCACTCTTTCTCCAAGCCCTCATCCAACCCCAAGCCACCATGGTCTGCTGTCTTAAAATTATGAGAAAAAAACATTTAATTGTAGGCAATTTTGAGTGACCAGCTATTACTTATTTTTTTCCTATAGTATGCTATCATACAGATCAGTGGATATCAGGAAGAGCCTTCAGCTGGAGGAGTTGCTAGCAAGGGAACAACTGGAGTATACCATTGAAGAAGAAGTGGCTAAACAAACCATACGTATGTGGCTCAAGAAATGTCTCAAACGTATAAGAGCAGTAAGTAAATCAGATACACCAAAAATTTTTTGCTAAAGTGTGCATGTAATTATATTCACATTTAGATATGGAAGAGTTTATCATTTATCGGGAGTTTCATTTATTACTGATGAAATGTGTTGCTTTTCTGAAACATTGAAGTGTTATTTTGTTTTCTACTGCCACATTGCCCTTCTATTTGCTTTACTTTTTTGGTGGGGGTATCAAGACTAAGCCAATTAAATGCTTTAAACACTTTGATATAAAATGGATGTGAAACAAATAGGTGAACATATAATCACTTTGTAGACTACTGTTTTCTACTTGAAATTGTAAATACATCCTTTGCAATACTAAAACCCAGGCCTGGGAAAAGAGGATGGCAGGGGGTGAACCTGCCCTGGCCGTGATGTTTTTTTGTGAAGGAGGCTGCTGGGGGCTTGCTGGTGCTATGTTCTCCAGTTGCCCGAATGGCCATGATATTGTAACTTCTGTCATTCAAACAACTGGAGAAAGGCGCGTAGAGTAGGGGTTGTGACAGCTGCAGGAGGAAGGATTCTGCTCCCTCCCAACTTCAATAGCAACCTATTGTGGGATGAAGAGATTGGGCAAATGGGGCACCTGCTGAGAACAGACCTCCTTCTCAGTATGGGTGCCTGCCAGGGCACTTGGGCTTTAAGACTTTTTTAACTTAATTGAAATATTTACTGTATGTAAGAACTATTGTCTGTACTTAGCATCAAAGCAATAATTCAGTTATGTATTCTTCCGGGTTACTTTTATTGGGTTACTACCAAACACCAAGAGTTAGTCATCATTTTAGGTTTGAAAGCCTAATCCACCTTTTTAAAACATTTAATAAATGCTCATTAATGCATATTCCTAAAAAAAATATAATGTATTAAATTTCTCAATTGAAGCCTGCAGAGCACTGCAACTGTAATCACTGTGCCACAGCTGCAATGCACAGGCTCTTGCATTGTTTTAATCTTAGCCAAAGATCCATATGGAGGTGCAGACCTTTTGATATGTGGCTGGAGGAAGAAAACAAGGGAAAAGTCCCTGCCTTTGTTTTAGGGGGATATATGAGTCCTTCTACTGCAGTGGCAGATGCGACATGTAGTCTTCTCAGTCACAGATCCCTGTGTGGGTGATGCCACACATAGCCATGCTAAGTTCAGACAACTACAGGCCCCCCCATGGTTCAGGTAAGGTGGGTTGGCTTGAGGGTGCGGGGTTGGGGAATGCAATCAAATATGGGTGTAAAATTAAACATTGTCCCAAAGGTGGACTATGCCTTTAACAAAAACAAAACCTCTCAGACATATAATGTATTGTCTCTACTTTTTGCAGTTAATGCAGTCACATTAAAAAGTGGTATATGCAAGAGTTGTTAACCTTTGATTTTATTGTGTGTTCTGCTAATTTCTTCAGAAACAACAACAGTCCTGCAGCATCATTCACAGCCTTCGAGAGAGTCAGCAACAAGAGCTTAGTAGGTTCCTAAATCCTCCCAGCATTGAGACAACACAGCCCAGTGATGATATGAGCCTCAATAACCAGGATAATGCACAACCAGAGGTATTAACTTCTAATGATGTCATCTAAGAATGGTCTAGGGTAGTCCTAAATGGTGCAGCCTGCCCACAAGATGTTAATGATGAATACTGGAATGAAACAGATTAGCAAACCATGTTGCCATTCAGTTAAAGTTTAAAGTGGCACTAAACTCAAGAGTTGAATCTTAAAGATGCATACAAGTACCCTAACTGTTAACAAAAATGTCCCTTAGTCTCATCATAGAATTCATGCTGACACTGTCCTTCCTACTGCAGGGTGTCTACTTTTGTTCCGCATGGTCCCTGTCGGTGTTGTCACACACCGTTCCAAGCTTGCTCCCATGATGGAATACAATTTCAATAAAAAATTAAACTAAGTAAACTAAACTTGAAATTTTATTTCTTTATGGGAGCGATCTTAGAATGGTGACTACTTTACAACACACAGGGAGCAAGTGGAACAAAAGTAGCCACCCTCCAAGAGGAAGGACAGTGTCAGCAGCAATTCTGAAATGATCAGAGGATCGACAGCTGAGTGACGCACAAATAAGGTACAGTACTGTTAATAGTTAAGGTATGTGAATTCATTTTTAAGGTTTGACGCCTGAGTTTAGTGTCACTTTAACTGGTTGTTTTTCGCCACCCATTGCAGTAGTACAAGAAGAACATATTCCATAGTTGAAGCATGAAATGTAATTTATTTTAGAACAGATACTTCTAAATGGTGACCTTTATTAAATGATGTCAAAACATAATTGCTAAAGAACACAATGGATTTTTTTGGGTACGAAACTGATTTCTCAACAGTGTCCTGAAAATCATAATTGAGCTTATTGCTGCTGGCACCTTGCCATTGCAGTTTAAAAGCATGTTTTGTCCAAGTCCAGTTGAAAGAACCTTTAAAAAACAGACGTTACAGAAACTGCTTCATCAAAGGAGAAACTATTTACTAGACGTTTTCTGTAGTCCAGGTTTAGCTAGTTAGAAGTTCAGCTGCCAAAAAGTCTTGTTTGAAAGTATGAAACCCAAATCTGCCACATCCTGGAGGTTTGGAGACTGATTCTCAATATCAGTATTCCGCTGTTGAAAGTATGGTTTTCTGCTCGAGCTGTCTTAATCCTGATTTGTTTTTCAGTCTTTTAAAGTAGATCTAAACCCTAACTGTATGCATTCTAATTGCTGAAACACTGTGTATCATAAACAACATTTTAAAAAAAAACAGTTTTCACTTTTTTAACCTCTTTTGATTCGCTACTAATCTCCTGTGGCCTTTTTCAACCGTTTACTGTGCACATGCACTTAGTCTAGCATGGGTACATTATTGTTTTTGTTTACTGAAAATGACAATGATGGGCCATGCCATGTAATGTGTGACAGCATGGCCACTTGTAGTCTTCACCCAGTGTGACAACCACAGCAGAAGAATTCAAAGACAGTGCTATCACCCTATAACGGTAAGTGGCATTAAGTGGTCAAGTGCCATTACCTTAACAACAGGATAAATGAAAGATGCATAATAAAAATTGAAAATAACTTTTGAAAGTGCATTAACATTTTAAAGCTTATATGACATATAAGTGAGTGGATATATACATGTTTGAAGACTCAAAAGTTTATCTCCACTACTTCACTTTCAGTTCTTGCATCCATAGAAACCAGGATAACTATATTTTTTATTATAAAACATGATGTGGCTAAATAAATGACTTTACAAAACGTATTGAATGTTTAGACCACCCTATATACGCTGTTCACCTGTGGTATCTACTTCATCCGTTGTAGCCGATGAGAGACAGAAGAGTGATTTCATTATTCCCTGTCACTCACTCCATAATGATGGCATTTGACACAAGATACTCCTCTTACCTCACATGATTGCAGGGCTCATTCACACCAGCGCTGTTGGGCTGCATTGGGCTGCATTGGGCTTCATTGCCCAATGCAGTCCCTAGGCAAAGACAATGCAAAAAGCCTAGAAAAAAACACTGTGTTGGTGCGCTTTGTGATAAAATTATACAGGCATAATTTTATTGCAGTACAATGGGCTGCAGCACGTACAATTACACAGAAGTAAAAAAATGGAAGAAAAGCAAGCACTGCAATGCATTATAACAACACATTGCAGTGCAGGTTTACATTGCACACCAGCGCAGATGCATTAGGTGCTATGCATTATGCACTGTGTGGTGTGAATAAACCCTAATGATGACTGTGTTATGTTCTGGATTTGAAGCAGGATATAAAATATTCCTAACATAATAATATGCTTGCATTTAAGGTTTACAAACATATATTCTTATAGTTGTTTTTTTTTTGTTGCTGTTTATTTGTAGACAAGTAGTCAGCAGCAGCTTCTAAGCCCAACGCTTTCTGACAGAGGAAGCTATAGACAAGACTCAATTGAAGCTGGTAAACGTCTGAGAAGATTTGGCCAGTGGCACCTACCATCAGGTAAAACAGCTTCTTTAAAGAGGTGATAAAATAAATAATATAAGAGGTTACAATAAATAATAATAATAATAATAATAATAAAATACAGGTTAACCATAGACATTAAAGATGACAATGGGCTTTCCGTCCATTACCTTTTCACTGTACAGCACTGTATACTAAGAAAGCCAAAAATGTCCTCTATACTAACTACTTTCTACAAACAAATGGATTAGTTCCTTTTTTCTTTTCTTTATTCTTTAACATTTGCTCTCAGTCATGTATCACTCAGTTTATTTTAGTCATTAATTCTTTTTCTGTGAGGCAGAGACCTTTGCTTATGTGGCACAAATTAGTGCTGGCCAGTGATCTAATACCAACAGGGTTATTAACAAAAGGGTGAAGAGTTTGGAGAAGGCAGGAGACGTGCACAATCTAGGACAACATAGCTGAACTGGAAAGTGAGCTGGATTGGAGAATTTTGCCAAATCAGCTATGTTGTCCTACATTGTTCACTTCTCCTGCCTTCTCCAAACTCTTCACCCTTTTGTGAATAACCCTGCAAATCAATGTACTGAAGGAGTGCAGTACAGACAGCAGGAACTGGGAGTGCAGTACAGATAGCTGGAGCTGATAGTGCAGTACAGATAGCTGGAGCTGGGAGTATATTATAGAAAGCAGGGCCGAGGAGTGCAGTACAGACAAAGGAAGCTAGGGGTGCAGTACAAACAGCAGGAGATGGTACGCAGTTTGGATAGCGGGAGCTTGGAATGCAGTACAGATAGCTGGAGCTGGGAGTGCAATACAGAAAGAGTAGGCGAGGAGTGCAGTACAAACAAAGGACGCTGGAAGTGCAGTGCAGACAGAGGGAGTTGGGCATACAGTACAGACAGCAGAAGCTGTGAGTGCAGTACAGATACCAGGAGCTGGTAGTGCAGTATAGATAGCGGGAGCTGGGAATGCAGTACAGATAGCTGGAGCTGGGAGTGCAATACAGAAAGAGTACGCTAGGAGTGCAGTACAGACAAAGGAAGCTGGTAGTGCAGTGCAGACAGCTAGGGCTAAGAGTGCAGTACAGACAAAGGAAGCTAGGTGTGCAGTACAGACAGAGGGAGTTGGGAGTGCAGTACAGACCGCAGCAGCAGCTGTGAGAGCAGTAGAGGCAGAGGTAGCTGGGAGTGCAGTATGGAGAGTGAGAATTGGAAGTACAGTACAGAAAGTGGGAGCTGGGAGTGCATAACAGGCACTGGTAATGAATGCATTACAGAAAGTTCATATTGAATAACTAGGAAGAGGCGTTGGAATGATTTTATAGCTCTTATATTAAAAAGGAAAATACAGAAATGTATCAAACATTTTTGCAAGCCAAGATATTATCAGCAGTTTCCATAACCAGTTTACCCATGCACATTAGTACATTCTTTTCCATTTTTTACAGCACCAAAACCTATAAGTCATTCTGTATCTTCTGTCAATTTGCGCTTTGGTGGTCGCACCACTATGAAGTCTGTAGTGTGCAAGATGAATGCTATGTCTGATGCTGCTTCTTGTGGTTCAGAAGTCAAGAAATGGTGGACGAGGCAACTTACTGTAGAAAGTGATGAAAGTGGAGATGATCTACTCGATATGTAAGGACAATGAAACCAAAACTCAAAGCAACTGCGCAGATTACCTTTTATAGTGGAAAATGATGTGTACTCATTATTACTAGGTTGTCAGTCCAAAGGATGCTTAATGTCAAGTGAGCAAATTCAAATTCTGTTAATCAGGAATACTGAGTTCAGAGTAAAATAGTGCATGTCAATAATGTGAATAAAATGGTTAAAAAAATGGTTGTTGACATGTGCCAGGTTCTTAGCTAAAGCTGTCTGTAGACATAAGATGGCAACAGTTGTTCCATCAAACAATCAATACATAAATATGCACAGTTACATCAGCTGCAAGTTTGTGCATCAAGCAGACCTTATCTCAAAAGAATAATAGCAGTTAGCTGGAAAAATCCATTTTAGGTAATTAATTCAAGATCAAGTGACAAGGTGGTGTTTCTAGAGGGCACAGACTTATGGATATATGACCATTTCCCAATCCAATCAATGGTCACCTTAAGCCTTACTTATGAAAAGTGGTGTCCATACCAACCTGTTTGCTTCCAACTGTCAAATCTGCAGTGTAGAAGTGAAATTGAGACATGATTCTTATTAGTTTATATTATCTGAAAACATATTTTCCATGGATAAGCATCTCATATGACTTTAACAGCATATACTGCAAGACTCCTCAGTATAGGCTATGTTTACAATCTCCAGATCATTACATATTATTCTAACACCATATGTTTACTACAAATTATTCTCTTTAACTGTGACATACAGCCTTGTACGTTGGCCAAAAACCTGCCAGCATTGACTGTTGTACATGTATTTATCTTAAAAGTAATTTTGCCATGTTACTGAATTGCTCATTAACTTATATATTGATCTACATGTAAAAGAATGTCTGCCACCCAAAGTATGTAAGTGTTAAAGGGACACATCTCAGTCATTTCATGTTTTTTTTATGGTTACTTAACTGTCCACAGTTTCTCAAAAATGTTCTTGTTAAAGCTTAAAGGTTAAAAACAAATCAGAGGAAATAATGTGGAATTATTTGTGTCATTTCTTTTTTATTATAACATGTATAATGTTAGTAACACAAATGCCTTTATATGTATACATATGAAAGATAACTATTATGTTTATTATAATTATATAATAGTTGGATATACTTGGAATTCTTTGCTTGTAAAACTTGGTGCTGTGCTGGCTAACATGCCTGCACAGATGTCTAACCTGCCATTAATCTATGGGGCAAAGGTCACCACTTGGGTAAAAAAATGACCTGGACACTATGGGGTTGATTTACTACAGGCAACTAGCCTGCTCACTTTGCAAGGAATTTTGCACTTTTCAGGGGAGGTTTATCCTCAGTTAATGAATGAAGTGAAGCTCTCCTGACTTCCATCATCCAAGCATGTGCAAGCAAAAATACAGTTTTTTTATATTTCCCTTGCACATGATTGTGTATTCTTTGCAAAGTGAAATTTCACCAAGCTAAGGGCAAACTTCCCCTGCAAAGTGAACATCCTTTAGTAAATCAACTCCTATATGTGGTTTGCAGGGACATTATTCAGCAGTGCATGCTATTGTAAAGCCACTTCAGTTGTCTAACGCACAATACATCAGATCAGATTGAGTGCAAAACATCTATTTTTTTTTTCAATTTAGCCATAAAGAATATATTCATTACCCATCTGTTGTGTTAGGAAACCCTAAAGCTAGCTATACATAGGCAGATAGCTCACCCACAACAACATAAAGGTGCCCATACACTTTACAACCCTCGCAAGACTTTTGTCTTGCGAGGGTTGTAAAGTAATTTTAAAAAACGTACGATCTGCCCATCTTGAACAGGCAGATCGTACTTGCGATCATCGCAAGGCCGCCCCCCTGACTGCAATGAGGGGCGTGCTTCCGATGACTGTAAACGGGCAGTGTGCGTGTGCGCACACCGGCCCGTTCGGCAGTTGTCGAACAAGCAGGTCACTAACCCGCCCATAATCGTGCGTTTCTCGGCGGGTTTTCCAGCCTGCTTGTTCGACGGAAGACGTTGCGACCGTACAGTAGAAGTGGTCGCACGCCTTCCATACACTTTGCGATTATCGTACGATCGCGGGATTTCCTGCGATTATCGTACCATAATCATACAGTGTATGGGCAACTTAACACTGTCTTCTGTTATATCATCACAACTCTGGGATCTGCTGCATCATTTTTATATGACAGATGCTTGCATAGTATAGAGCTAAAGCGAAGAGCTAAATCCCTAGATCTGTGCCTGGTTATTTGAGATTTTGCAAAACAATGATAAGCCTCCATGTGCCCTGATTGCTTTTAGGTGTGCTGTCACCCTAAGATTAAAAAGTATTTAAACTGTACTTTTAGAGAGTTGGTGTTTGAAGGATTATCTCCAAGTTTAACAATCAAAGATGTAAACTAATAAATAACAAAATCCACATGTTGTTTGTATGGGATGGCACAATATAGTGTATTAAATACAATATGCCCAATGCTAAAGCAGAAAGTCTTTTATATTATTTTTTTTAATTTTAAAACTCTGAGGGGGGAATTTATCATTGTAGTCATATATTCTGCGACAATAAACATGTCGCAACACAGAATTTGGCCACAATGTGCAACTGAATTATTATTCTAGTGTTATATGGGTTCATGAATGTGTAGTAGAACAGCAGGTCACAGGTTTATTCATTTTGGTTGCAGAGAGCTTTTAGAAGTGCGGCTGCTTATTATGAGAGAAGATTGGGGAGATTGGGGAGGAGAAGGAAGGAGAGAACAAAGAGAGAAATGAATGAGGGTGTGAGAGACAAGAGAAAAGATTTGGAAGATGGGGGTTACATGAGAGTAAGAAAAGTTTTCTGAAAGAGTGTGAAGCATTATAGAGATGGTTTATGAGAGGCAGAGTGGAGAAGGAGGATTTCTGACATGGCGGAGAAACAAATCTTGGACATATATATATATGACATGGGGGAGGCATTGCAAAGAGGGAAGGCTCTTCTACTTTGTATCCTTTGATCTATGAATGAGCTCTTAATCCAGTCTTTGCAACTGTACAATAAGAAGAAGCAAATGCCGGCAAAATCTCATTTTGCTGTGTGCCAGTGCACAGTTTATGGCTTCCTACCGAACATAACCTCTGACTCTCTTTAACCCTTTCACATACCAGTCACTGACATGGGAAGTCAAAGTTTAGTCAGAAAGGTGACAGGTATGTAGAGCTGTTTTCCACAGGAAGGGGTTAAAGAAGACTTTTATGACAGGATAACACAGCCGGCACTACTATAAGTCCTCCCGAGGACCTCTTAACAAGCCACTGTTCTGTGTATAATTTCAGACGCAGGGGACTGTCGCAGATCTGAGATAAGTGTGTTTATTATGCGTCTTGTCGCTATTTGTATCCATTCGGTCGCAAATACTTAAGTGTTGCAGCGGTGGAGGAAAAAGGACACAAATGCGGAACACTCATTTGCTCTCCGTATGTCTTTTCTGCCATAAAAAAACTCCTGCCTGCTAGCCATTTTCTTCTAATTGTACACTGAGCTGTGCAGCTCAGTGTACAGTTGGGTTTTGGAGGGAAGTAACTCCTGTGAGCTAGCATGGAGATTATGTCCTCCCTGGCCGACCAGTCAGGATGGCTGCAGACTCTGGACCTGGAAGAAGACCTGTAGAAGATGTCAGCAGTGGCAATGGAGCAATGAGAGGGAGTGTGTATGCCTCATTGCTGGAGGGGGCAATTTAGAAAGTAAGTGTACTATATTGTTAATTTAGGCTTTGCGTACTTGCTCATTATGGCATGTGCCCTGGATGTCCCTTAAAATTGAAGCTGAACTCTTGGGACGAAAAACATTTTTCTTGCATTGGGAACCTCCACCCTCAACCCCAACCCGTACCCCAACTGCAAGGGTTAACTGCTCATTTTGCCTATCGAATGATAAAAAAGGTGATATACTTTCATTATTTCTCACTCCTGCCGACTTTCTCTTTTTTGTACGACTGGTCCCTCAATGCTTCTTCCTTGGGCTGTGCAACTGGTTGCACCTCTCTGACCACATCCCATACAATACATGTATGGGAGGAGGGTGAGGGCCTGCCCACATTTGGGAGCACTGGACATTGGAGGAGCATTCCAGCTGCCAGGGGACAGAGGAAGAAGGTAAAAAAAAATCACCTCATTCATTATCCCCTGAGCAAAATGAACAGTTAACCCTTGCAGTGGGAAGGGGGACCCACTGCAAGGGTAAATGTTTTTTTTTCCCCGGAGTTAAGTTCTGCTTTAAATAATTTGTAACAATTATTTTATTCTATATAAACTTGTGATGTGATATGACTGAAAAGGCTAAATTCTCATTTAGCCTTTCAGTCATATCACATCTCAAGTGTCTAATAGTGCAGATGATATTATATTTACATATTTGTATTTTCCATCACCTATATTAGATACCATTGCATCCCCAATGCTTAAAGCAAAACTTACCTTTAAAAATAAAACATTGCTAGGGGATAGAGATCTTTAGCAGAATAGACAATGTCTCTTCTGCCAAAAAACTTCTTCCTTTTTTCCCATGCAATTTTTTTATTTTCTGTGTTCATAAGCACATGTGCCTTGCAGTGTATACTTCTGGCCCAAAATCTGTAAGAAGAGGATGTCTGGGAACCCAGAAGTAACAGCAGCTAAAATGGTGGTGGCGGAAGACAGAGTCTGCATCAAACAGTACTGGAGAAGGACATATTTTATAAGGTAAGCGTGCAATATTGTGCAAGTAGGCTGTGCGTACTTGCTCATTATGGAAAAAGCTTTAATGTATCAAGAAATAAGGAGAAGTATAATCTCACTAGCCATAAAAACTTATTCTTGCATTCAATATTTGACAAATATGTAAGCACAGGAAGGTTGAGTGTGAGAAAAGACCCTTTTGCTTGTCCTGTAACATCCTTGGTATCAGATTCTTTCATGACCTTCCCTGTAATACTATAACTTTGATGTGCCCTTCATTAAAGTACTAATCCGATTTACAATTATTAGAAATAAGATCTATTTATTGTGGTTTTATTGTGGTTTTGTCATGTTATGTAATATAATATAGTATTGTTAGTGTTATGGATTTATTGAGATAACATTTGT